AAACAACAAATGATTTTGGACGACCTTCGCGAAATTCGTCTTGGAGTGAACTACGACCACGATTGATACACCTATAGCCATCGATAAACACTGATTCCTTGATGGCAGCTTCATTTCCAAAAAATTGAATTAAGTTCATCCCATGCACTGTTGTAAGTTAATCCACCGTCGAAGTTGTAAAAAATAATCGACGAAAATTGTTCACGATTTATTCCTATTTTGGGCCAAATAATCTTTTAGGTTACTATAAACAAACACAAATAGTGCTCGTATCGTCAAAAACGTTTCTGATACGTATAGAACCTCAAAACATCCCAACTTTTACGATAGAGCTGTCAGTTGCCAGCAGCTTGCAACACCAGGGTTGCCAATCCGAACACATAAAAGGGAACCTTCGTAAACATGTTACGGGTCAATCATTTTTTCGTTTCTGTTAATGAATAATTTTAATTTAACAAACATCATTATATCTTTACATTAAGGTAGATATCTTTTAATGACGTCATATTGGTTTTGGACTAGTCCTATTTTAGTAGGCCTTGCACTGTATATTTATGATTTAGAGAATAATTGTGGTTGATAATTACATTTGAAAATGGAAAATATTAAAGTATTCTAATTGAAATATTCGAAGAAGCTGACAAAGCCAAGAAAGCATTACTTCGTTCGAAAAGTAAGGGCATGAATGATAGAAAAACGTATGTTAATGTTCGAAAGAAGAATGACGATTCAGTTTTGGCTTACTGTCTTGATGTTGTGCTGTACGCTCCAGAGCGGGTAAATACAACTGAAGATTTCATTTTTTCTATTTGTAATATGCTAAGACAATATGCTTTACATGTAACACATTTATTCATTTGAAATATTTTGTTCCACTAGTCAGCTAGTGTCAAACCAACATGCTTATGGTCATACTTGTTTATGTTGAAGACGTGGCGTCAAAGGAGAATATCAATATTTCAAATTATAAACAATTTATTTCATTTTCCAAACAAATTAAGTTGTTTTTCCAAAACAACTGCTCTTTCTCTTTCTGAGCGTTACATTCAAATAGGTGAAGTAAACATATCTGTGGATTTTAAAGCGACTGCTGGATTAGAATGGTTGATGCCAAGTATGAATAGGGTAATAGTTTCTAATTTAACTTGTTATACTACAAATATTAGCATGATTGTCAAAGAAGTAGTAATAATTATTTGTTTATAATTTTGTTACATACAGTATGTTCATTGATTACATGTTTTTGATGTACGTAATATGTGAAGTACATTTTTGTTCATGTTTCATGGCCGTCTGGAAACGACTATCTACCCTAATATTTCTCTTGCAACTTTTCTTGAACGATGGATTGAAGAAATGCGGTAGAGTGGGGGTATTAGTTACGTAAACAGCCTAGATTTTATGAAGCAATCTCTGGAGAATGAGTTACACCTTCGTAACGTTCTCAATAATTTGCGTTCTAACTTTATCAGGAGTTCGAGATGATAGATCCGTACCTGCTTCGGTCATTTCTTTAGATTTTTGGAGAATAACCGATAGAAGTTCTCGTCTTCAAAAGAAAATTGTTTCTACTTCGCGACAGTGAAGATGTGTTTGGAATATTGTCATCAGTGCTCACTGCGAGCTTTTGACTTCATCTGTTTATTGTGCCAGAGAGGGGGAAATAAGGTCATCGTTAAAAAAAAAGATGCGCGAGTAATAGTTAAGTAATCAGTCGCTAGATTTTATGAAACAATGCTAATCTCTGGAGAATCAGTCATGCCTTGACAACTTTCTCAATAATTTGCGTTCTTTCTCAGGAGTTCGAGGTATCTTCTGTGATGAATCTTCACCTACTTCGGTCATTTCTTTAGGTTTTTTGTAGAAAATGACGGACAGAAGTTGTCGTCTTCAACAGAAAATAATTTCTACTTCGCGACAGTAAAGATGTGTTTGTAATGCTGTCATCAGTGCACGCTACGAGCTTAGTCTTCAACTGTTCATTGTGTCGGAGAGGAGGAAGCAAGATCATCGTTCATGAAAATTTGCACGAGTAATATATAAAAACACAAGGGCGTTGCGTTACAGCGCAATAATCTCTGAATGTACTGGACGAATAACAATGAAACGTACATGCTAGCTTCTTTTGAAGGCCAAGAGTTCTGTAGGCTATGAATTATAAACCTTCATATATTCACAAAATAATTACTTTTCAGGACTTTTTTCGCCTAGTATTACATCATGTATTCAAAGGTGCATCGTTGTGAAATAGTTTCGCTGCAAGCCACCGGAGGATGACGACTGAGGTCAACGATTGAGTTCTTTAATTCACAGAATTGTAGTATATCGATAGATTAGCTGAGGACCGTTGATTTTACCGTCAATTGTTTAATGTGAAATGTTTATATTTAAGAATGATTTGACACGACTGGATTTTGAAGACTATGGAGATCTATCGATTTCATCCTGGGCTTATTGAGTTTTGTAAGGGTAGTATGAAGTCGGGGAGTACCAGGTTACTAATACACAGCGGAGAGGAACTAATAGAAACACGAAGTATTCAGATTAATATGGAAATTTGCCAATGAAATTCGCATTCCCCTACTCTGTTTTGCATTACTTTGATCCCACGATCTAGATAGCTGTCGGACACGGGTCATTGGTTACAAGTTCCATGGTGACGAAAGACCAGTATACATTTGTCGTGAATGATTTTACTAATGCCCTTATCATGTATAATTCGTATATACTTGCATAATGGCGACAATTTTCGGTTGAACCAACCGGCACGAGTCTCCACTGAAGTAGACACATTTTTTCTCCATTTCCCGGATTACAATATCCAATTTGTTTGTCACTTTCTAGCGATCAGTTTGAATTGGTTGGTCGTGCAGTATTGTACCCAACCCAACAGACGTTACTGGTTTACGTGAGTGATCGTACCAGTTGGAGCAAGTGTTCGGATCGTATGGGCGGTACAGATCTGCCTGTGATGGCAACTACACAACCTGTCGTGTCTTTGCAAGTATTCAGTCTTGCTAGAATTGGTGAAGCCGATACAATATGATCAATGGTATCTACTTGTTCCTGGTAAATGCGGTATTTATAATTTTAGGAAATTTTGAGACGTCTGTTGCGGTCGAAGATAAACCAGTGGCTCTCAGGGACGAGGAGGTGGGGCTTGTTGGGGAGGATATCTCAATGTTTTTAGTCAATCTTAACCGGAGACGCTGCGACAAAGTGCTCGAGAGTTAGCGAGTTTGTAGTATCTACATCAGGTGTCTCTTGAATATTTCCTGCAGGCTTGCAAACTGTGACGATATTACATCAAATGAGAATCGTATTTTAGTTTTCTTGTAAGTTTCCACAAATTGAATTTCTGTATTACATTTGCAGTTTTGTACAAAGGAATATGCAAAAGCATGTAATCGAAAGGCTTCACCATGAATGTATCTTTCATTTCTTGCCCGTGGAAGTTGGCAGTACTACATCTCTTGTAGCCGACGAGACAGAGATAGATTCTATTTTCGTTGGGCGCGGTAGTTGCATATACCTGTGCAATACATTAGCAAAAGATAGATTATCAGCTTTTGCCATGCTTTCCATCGAGCATGACTTCCTTATCCAAATAGCTGACTTTAATGAAAGAGTTATCACAAAATTGTCTACGAACAAGGCGTGGTGACTTCTTTTACAATTAGGTAGGTACACCTGTTCTTTATTTATAGGTTGAAATAATGATCACTAATGTTGTGGAAATGGGAATGTCTCGAGGAAAAATGTGAAATTTTAGATACCGCGTATTTGTGAAATGTACATATAAATTCATTGTATACCAGTCCCAGCATCAGAGTCCCCCCTTAGTGCTATTATTCTGTAAACCAACTTTTAGGGCACGAGCCGTCACTGATCTACTTTTAAATGTTGCTGTGCCGTACGATCTAAATTCTAAACTTTGTCACCAAGGAGGCAGAGAAATGTCTTAAATACACGAGTTTGGAAGTCGCGATCAGCCGAATGTAGGGTGTAATAGCGCAGGTCGCCCCGATAGTTATCGAAGCCTGGGATTTGTTCCGCAACATTTGTCTAAGAACTTGGGTAAACTCCCTGGTCATTCAAAAGACTTGGAAATGCCAGACATTGGGTTGTAGGGAACAGCCAAAACCACCAACATTTGGAGGTATTGGAACAGACCATATTTTGCGCAAAGTATTGTGGAGCTCCGATAGATCCTGGACCTGATCCTTATAAAGCCAGACATTATAATCAACCGAATCATAACATCCTTAGTCGTGAATTAAAGGAATAACAATTATTAGTCATAATTACACATCACTTAAAAAACAATAGGAATTTTAAAAAAAGGTAGAGACATGCAATATCTGAGAGTTTACTTTAGTTATGTGAATGTTGTTTCATATTAGACATTCAAGATAAAAACTTTTCAAACAACCCGATAATAGTGATGATTAACGAAAAGCAAGTATGATAGTGAATTTAACACTGATATTACCAAACAATTAAATACTGCTTACCACTCATCATTAGAGAAAGTATGAGCCTCTATATTTTACACACACACACACACACACACACAAGTTTCCCTACAATTTTCTACTGAAAAATTTATAAAAAAATAATTTAGAGAAACATGTATTTTCCTTCCTTTACGATTCTTTAAACAAATAACTTAATACATTTTGCTTATTTTGTCACTATATACAATCATCCCGAAAAATTCTTTATAATGTTAATTTTTCCCTTTTTCATTATAATTTTAAGGAAATGAAACCACAACAAACAAAATATTTGTATTAAAGTGTATTATAATTTAAAATTTCACATAATTCTTGAAATTTTAAAGTTCCTTCTTTGACAGCACTGTATCGTTTTAACAAATCTGAAAATAATTGTATTTACTGTTTAATTATTGCGGATTGTAATATTATTGAGTTTTTCTTTCACGAAAAACTATCGTTTCTAAATATTCCTTGATATTCGATAAGGGCGCCATCTTTCGTGTTCTGACATTTGTAGAATTTCCTTGCTTCCCACCCTTTTCTCCGCCTTGTTCCGTTTGGCGCTTGGATGCTACAGTTCACAGCAATTTTGTAAGTAAATTTTAAATAAAAGGGAGATAGTACATGCAGTTTAACGTGTTTAGAATATTCTTGGACAGATTCTTATTCTTCGAATCCATAAGGGCACGTTTTGATTTCTATAAGAGACATTTAATAAGTTCTTGATGACCGGAATGGCTGCCTTCAGCATGTCTTTGTTACTTTCTGTAACATAACGTGCCGACATAAGTGGGCTCTTTTTATTTGTACAAGTAATAGGGCTGAAGATTATAAATTTTTATTGTGCCCTGAGATTTATAGTAACAGTGATGTTTTAAGTACTTTCACAATACTGAAAACTGAAAAGTGCCACGTTTTCGTCCATGGTTACTCTTACCGGCATGGGCTAATGAAAGCACAGTAGTCTTTGTCTTCGCGGTATGTTTCCGTTGCTTGGTGGAACCTGCAGTGTGGAAACGGAAGGCATAAAATATTCGTGAAATAGCTGAATTGGACTCGCCCATTACCGAATCGCAATGAAAGAAAATTCTCGCTAGTGATTCGTCGGGAAAATACAGTCAAAGGAATTGATTCATGCGTCATATGGGGAAAACCGTTAAATCACAAAGGGAGGGAGGCATTGCTCGCACAGGGTGTGAAGCCCAGTTGGTCCTCTTTCGCCACCACGAACACCTGAGAGTTCGCCTGCGGTCTCGCAGAAAATTGATTCCGTGACATTAGTTCAGTTGTTCGATATGTCCCCATTTTAGGTCAACGAAGATGAGCCATCATCAGTTACGGCGTAAGCCGTTTTGTGACCAACGCCTGCTGCCGTAAAGATTTTGTGGATAATTACCTTCGAGAAACTGAAAATACAACATGGAAGGGCAAGAGTTCGTGGATGGGTGGATAAGGGGCCAGATCCTGGGAGAGGGAGCATACGGCGAGTAAGTATTGTATCATAGTATAACCTGAGGGTCATTTTTTCTCATCAATATGTTCCTTTTCAGTGATGGTCATGATTAATTCATGGAATGAGCGTCAAAATGTACATTATTGGTATTTCACAAGGAATTATAACCATTTAATATATTCGTATTAGTAATAAATTTTAAACGGGAAATTGTTTGCATGCTTATGAATTTGATTTACTCAATGGTTCTTAATTTTTAATGAGATCTTAAACTTTTTCATTAAAAGCCACAACATTAGATTATAGCAAATAATGGGATAAGTTTAGTTGGGAATAAATATATTTAAGTACCATTTGATGGTACTCTATTATTGTATAATTTTTGTATCTGAATGTAAAATGTGGGTAAGTGTGGTTGCACATAAATAACTACCGAAACATTTTCAAAACATGGTACCTGATTATTTCTTTAATACAGTTCTGAATACTTTCTTGTGGGAATGCTGAAAATATCACTTAATTCATAGTGGTAGCTAAGAAAGAAATGTGAGAAAGTAAAATGCATTGAATAAAGGTGGTTTGAGGTAGAGGTTGCAAATAGTTGGAGTTTATATTTGGCATTTCTGAGTATTATTGGCATTCGACTTCAGAAATTAAAGGGGTTGTCTGTAACTATTATTTTCATTTAGATTACTAGGTGGCTTGCAGTGGCTCATTCGAGTTGAACTACCTGCCAGTTAACATATCTGGTAACTAAGCCATCAAAGCTATTAATTTTAGTAATGTGATTAAGACATCAATTTCTATTTTTACTGTCTTAAATAAGATGGGGAAAAGTTTATTCTTTAAAACTCTATTTTTGATTCAGAATGTCAGTAGCACTTAATATTCTAATAAATGGAATTTAAAGAACAACTTTT